CGCGGACCTGTCTCTGTCCGATGCGAGCCGCAGCCTGAACGAGCCGGAGTCTGGCACGGGCACCAGCTCGACCAAGAGCCCGGACACGGCCTCGGCGACTACTTCAATTTAGAGAATGATACGGGATGGCGACATCGAACGAGCAAACGAAAGCGAGCTATTACTTTTTTGGGTTTTGGATTTTTGAAACCATACGGCGACTAATGATGACGGCATGTGATTCTACCTAGCCTTCTATGTGATTTATTACCTACTTTCTTTATTATGTTTCTTGGTATTTACATAACATACTATTCAATATCTCGGTTTCTACCTACTTAGCGAGGTAGTTCTCCCAGTTGGCTTACCGAGGGAGGGAATTCTATTTCATCTTCGCTATTGTCGTTATTAGGTAGTGGCTTGTACCGTGTCTAATATATGAATTACCAGTACATCCCATTCTAATGTCTGCTTTTTTTAAAGCCATTTATTATCTTCTCCGTCATACTTCAAGTCCTCATAATCTATCTAGCAACGACTCCAGCCATGTACATCATCCATCCTTGAAAGTCTACGTAGCCAAAGAATCCAAATCTGCATCATGCCAACCAAGGTTCGCACAATGCTTAGATGATGCCGGGAACCATGACATATCGCTTCTTCTTGTACAGGTCGCCAAACTCCCGTCGATAAGCCTTCTCCTTGCCCAGGGCCCAGGCGTACATCTGGTAGCCGCCCATCACGATGAAGGCGAGGACGGTCCACTCGCGGCTGACGATGATGATGCCGGCCCAGGAGATGAGCTCGAACATGTAGTTGGGGCAGGTGACAAGGGTGAAGGAGAAGCCGACGGGGATCTTGCGCTCGGTCCCGCCGGTTGAGCGGAGGCTGGACAGGTACAGGTGGACTGATGCGTTGCCGAGCTCGCCGAAGAGGTAGACGGCCAGGCCAGCGTAGTCGACGAGGATCTCGTCGGCGGCGGCGGCCATGGAGTTGGGGCGGTAGATGGAGACGGCGCAGACGAGGCCGGACATGAGCCAGTAGAAGGCGCTGTTCTTGAAGACGTTGAAGACGGGCATGGTGTTGGCGGAGAACTTGTGCACGAAGAGGGTCTCAATCTCCCGCTTGAGGAAGTGCAGCATGATCATGGCGAAGGTGATCCATTGTGTTGTCGAGAGGGGGAAGTCGACACCCTTGTTGTAGAGGTATGGCCTGGCGGCGACGACGAGGGCGTGGAACAAAAGGGGGCCGAGGTACTCGATCACGTATACAGTTCTCCATTCGATCTGGGGGCCTGTTGGAACAGTAAATGGTTAGCCCTGTGACTCTTTTAATTTTTCCAAGCTGGAGAAGACATATCAAATCGTACCCAGATCCTTGACGAGGATGTCATTGCCCGCGAGGATGGATGGCTCCTCGGCGAGCACTGCCTTGCGGTTCTTGAAGGTCTTGTTGGTGGTGGGATCGAACAATCCGATGCGGTTGAAGTCCTTGATGCCGCAGGCCTTTGCGATCAGGGCCTTGACCTCCTCGACGGTAGCATCGGCGGGGTACTGGATGGATTCCGGGAGCTTTTTGATGGGCTTTTTGGGAGCTTTCAGGGACAAGAGGTCAGCAGAGGATTCGAGGGCAGGCCAGTTCGATTCTTACACCGGTTGGTCAGCTTGACGGTCTGGGTTTGCGCCATGATGATACGCCTTGGGCTGGAGAGAGGACTGGTTGTGGTTGAAGTGGATGGGTAGACAAAAATTGTTGGGGGCAAAACGTGTTACTTATTCCCTACGAAATTACCTACTGCAACACCAAGTACCGAGGAGCTACCTAATCTCTCCAGCCTACAGCTCAGTTCGATCTCCTCCATGTGCCAAAAGCTAAAAATATTACTTGTCCACTGAGATGTCCAATTACCATTTCTAATCAATCATGTGCATCTGGAAATCACAAGACGGGTGAGAATGGCCGTCGGTGTTTTTTTTTACGTTGAAAGCCGATGAATCCAGCGGGTCACATGTAAATGTCTCCCTGCCAAGAGTCTGCTTTTTTTCCGTTTCTGGCCAAATAGCCAGATGCAGATTATGCAACAAGGATCGATGAGAATGATGCCGCACAAAAGCAATAGCCGTGAACTACCTCAGGTATGCTTACTGAAGCACGTCTGTCAACCACAATTGCCGTTCAAGGCATTGGCCAGCGATCACCGTGCTCTGTTGGCAGGTGTCTGTGCCCATGCAAGGCGACAAGGGCTGAATGTGGGGAGGCCGAGCTCAACTCCAAGCCAGCACGCCCTTTGCCTGTTCCAGCCATAGCTACGGCTTCACGCTGAACACTAGCACGCACTTCCACGAGCTTTAGGGTTCATACACACGCAGGCATAGTCTAGTTCTCCGATGCCCCCGGCTCTGCATAGGCATCATCTGGTCCCCTGTAGTCCTTGGTCTTTGTTCATGGCGAGGGGAGGGAATCCCACCAAGGCACTAGTATTCTGCCTACTACGGGCATGCGTCGAAGCCACGGTAGCCTGCAGATATCAACAATGATCATTTAGAGCAAGTATCATCTTTCAAGAGAGGATGACGCAAGCGCGCTTCCAAGAAAGAGAGCTCGCTATCTTTTTGATAAACTAGATCCCCATCATCAGTGTGAAGCGCTCCATCATCAGCCTCCATAATAAGCGTGTATTCCGTCTATTTTATGAATTGTAGAATGATATGAAACTTCTTGTGTTCAACACTTCCTTCTTTGAGACGACTTCAGCCTGTGCATTCGTGAGATGCCACGCGAGTCGCCTGCAGCCACCCGTTCTTCACCAGGTCAACATTCTGCCAGCCCGGTCAGTGCGCCTTTCTACCTACCTACTGACCATGAAGTCCGCCCAGACAGTGATGAGTTAGTCTTTGACCAAACAGGTTCTCTTGATCCTGAATAATCACTGCCTGCTCTTTGCTTAAACAAAGGAGCAAACATTGCAGTGTCGTTGCATCGGCGAGTTTCCTTCTGCCTGCAAAGCACCTTCGCCTGTTTTCACCGCTCAGAGCGAATTTCCAACAATAGCTAGGCGTTTTGCTCTTCATAAACAACTACTACGATGGCCTGGGCTGCACCGTATCTCAATTTCGCCTCATGACGAGCCCAGGCACATCTCCCTCACAACAAGCCGTGTTTGCTCATAACCTCTCTATCCATCCTCCCCAATTTCCATTCTTTCCACCTCGTCATTTCGCTTCGTTATCGGGAATTCAACGCCTCCAAAGAGCTTTTTACTGCCAAACCTTTTTGAATTTACAATCGTCAAACCCTCAGAAAGTTCGTCTGGAGTGGCTTGTCGGATCTTCGCTTGCGCCCTTGCCGTCTCTCACCTCGCCGACGACGAGCACGAGTCCAACCACGAATTTAGCATTTGAAACCACCATGAATCCATGTGCTGCCAGTTTCAGACCCGGGGATGTCTACAGGGATGCTCCTCGGGAAGCTGCCGGCCGCGACCTGTACCTAAAGAAGAGCCCTCCTGGATTAGCTTCTATGACGCCGCCCGATGAACATATTCAAGAATCGCCGTTTACTCAACCGGGCGAAATCTTAACCGAAGACAAAAAACTTTCTGAGGATAAGAATCAAAGCCCACTTGGGCACAAGCACCAAGCTTCCTATAAAGATGCGGGCAACCCAATTCTCCCCTCGCCTGCTGCTTCTCCCTCAAAGAATGGTTTTACTTCCACGGCCTCCGGCTTGGATCTAGCCTCTGATTCGCGTCACCGTTCCAATCTCTCAGAAAAGATCCGAGATATCCATTTATCGAAACGAAGCTCTACACCTTCCTTAGCAAAGAACCATATCTTCGCTGGACACTCGAGTCTCACTACTTCTGCAACAATTCCCACATCGCCCCCAAACACCGTATCAAGCAACAAACTGCTATTCCGAAGCGAAAACCAGCAACCGAGAAACGAAGCTTTGCCATTTAATCCTATAGATAACGCGATCGAATTCCAAGGAACTGTTTTCCAACCCGAACTTTATGCGCCCTATGACCAAGAGAAGCTTTACATTCAACAAGATCCTCAAATCTTTGGACTGCCTTGGCCATTTCTGTTCGAACAGACAGTGTTCCAGCCTTCAACACAGACGACTGTACCACTTCTAGATCCTGGCATACTGAATCCGTTTTTCACGGAAGCACTTCCAAGCTTCGAACTCAAGGCCAAGGGCAAACCCAACCCTCCTTTATTCGGACGGAAGCAACCTGGAGAGACATCAAGTCAATCTTTACTTGCCGGTAGCCAAGGGGTGATTAGACCCAGGTACAAGCTGGTGGAGACGGCACCCAACCATCCGCGTAGCTGGCAGGATAAGAAACCGAGAGTGAGCACTCTAGTAGATTCAGCAAAGACGGGGAAAGCAATGGAGCATACCAGAGCCCCATCTCCCGCTCAAGAAGCAATCCTCTTCGAGGAAAAAGATACCGAGGAGGTCTTGGACCTTCCCCTGAGCACTCATCCGGTCACTTTTCAACAACCACGACCGCAACTCGGAGATGGAATAGCAAACACAGTAACTCTGCTAATGCAGCAACGTCAGCCGCCGGCCAATGCGCCCACAGCCCCTGCGTCCTTCAGGCGATCGAAGCCGGCGGCTCAACGCGCATCTTCGCTCTCAGCCCAGCCGTCAGACGCAGTGACATGGTCCCAATCTAAACGATGGGTTAGCAAGGAGACCAGGGAGCGCGCAGCATTTCAAAAGATGAAGCTTCACCTTCAGTACATGGGAGCCGATAAATCCCCCGCGGTCCCCCAGACTCCGGCTGACCTCGCAGCTTTCAGGCTGGAGACGACGAGTATCAAGACAAGGAAGTTAACCAGAGATATCTTCAAGCGCGAAGAGCTGAGCCAGCGGAAAAAAGAGGCACAGGGAGAAGACGCCACCAAGCTTCAACCCAAGCTGGTGCTGTTCAACGGTAAGACATTTGGCGATGCCCTGTCACCCTTCTTTGCTGCGGAGAGCTGGTTCAACCGAGCACAGCCTGGCGGCCATGAAGCACAGGCGGGGTGGCCCACAATGGCAGATTTCAAAGAGGATGGCGACCACAGAGCGCCTCGACACGGTCGATATTTCCCCCTTCCTCGGATCCCTGCTACTACATTCCCGACCCGGGATCATTCCAATGGCGAGATATCCAGTCTTGACACAGGCATTAAGCAGGAGAAGGGGGCAGTCAAGTGCGATGCTCGGTTCATACTGCCCCTCTTCCATACCACGGAGGGGCCAGAGGATGAGCAAGATAATTTCCCAGAGGACTCCGGGTTGGCCAGGGTGCCCCCCTGCTTTTATCAATTGTTAGAATACATTGAGAACGAATTTATGGACGAAGAGGAAACAGAAGTCTTCAAGTAAGAGGAAGGAATATCAGGTGCAGGACATGGTTCTCGCAATTTAGGGCATGTGTGTTGAAGGAACGATAATTGAAGCAGTTACTCTGATGGTTTTACAAGATGGGAAAGAAAATGGTCATATCAAAAGGAGGTTCGAGGGCATATTCGGTCTGAAGGTACTGGTAGGCACGTTAGTTTAAGCTGTCATCCAAGAGACTAATTGGATGGACATTATTCGATCGCAGGATACAAAAAAATGGAGCATATCTACCTACTTCCACTCTTCGTTGGCATCTGCTTGGCGCTTCCCATATGAAAAATTGAAGACCAGCCCTACCAGTTAGTGTGGTTAGTAAGCAGGTCAGAAACAGCCTTGACAGCATACTCGCACGTGATGCAGCCCGGAAGATTAGTGACCGTATTCCGATAGCCCTCGAGCAAATGTGGTGTGGGGCCCTTCGAAAACCCCAGCCCACAACCACAATTTTACCTCCAATTCGACCTCCACATCCAATTGCCAAAAAAACCATTCCTTCCACAACCGCCAAAAGATTGCCCTGGTGAGCATCAACATCATCAGGTGAGTCCATACAGCATACCATTGCCCCCTCCTGGCTTCAAATCAACAGGATATTTGAATTCAAACGAACATCCATTGATCCTGTCGATTTCACCCCGCCGCCGCCGCCTCAAACAGCCGGTATCGAGAGGATTGAAGCTTGGGGATTTCTCTTTCTCTCTCTATTTCCTTTGGCAAAGACCTTGTGCTAACGAACACAACTCTCTCAGCACTAGCAATCATGGGTATCTCACGCGACTCCCGCCACAAGCGATCCGCTTCCGGTGCCAAGCGCGCCTACTACCGTGCGTACAATCAATAAAATCTCGAAAGCCCGTATGATTCCTGTGAAACATACGTTCTGACCTACCTCAACAGGGAAGAAGCGCGCTTTCGAAGCTGGTCGCCAGGGTGCCAACACCCGTATTGGCCCCAAGCGCGTCCACACCATCCGCACCCGCGGTGGTAACCACAAGTACCGTGCCCTCCGCCTCGACTCCGGCAACTTCGCCTGGGCCTCCGAGGGCTGCACCCGCAAGACCCGCGTCATCGCCGTCGCCTACCACCCCTCCAACAACGAGCTCGTCCGCACCAACACCCTGACCCGCTCCGCCGTCGTCCAGATCGACGCCGCCCCCTTCCGCCAGTGGTACGAGGCCCACTACGGCCAGAGCATCGGTCGCAGACGCCAGAAGGCCCAGGGCAAGGACGCCGAGGAGGTCAAGAAGAGCAACTCGGTCGAGAAGAAGCAGGCCGCCCGCTACGCCTCCCAGGGCAAGGTCGAGAACGCCGTCGAGAAGCAGTTCGAGGCCGGTCGTCTTTACGCCGTCGTCTCCAGCCGTCCCGGCCAGTCCGGCCGTGTCGACGGTTACATCCTCGAGGGTGAGGAGCTCGCCTTCTACCAGCGCAAGCTTCACAAATAAATGATGGTTGTTCGGTGATTGATAGCCCTTGGTTTGGTGTTGAAGGATTTCTCCTAGTTTGTGGCAATGAAAAGGTCACAAAGAGCTTCAAGTTAGGCATCGGAACGGGTAAATTAAAAATTTCTTGCATGACTTCACGCTATAAAAAGGTCTTCTCATGTGTGGTATCTACGTTTTATTCGTGACGCAATGGCAAAAATAATTTAATGCTCAAATCAATTGGCTTTCATCAAAGTAAGTTACATCAGTGCGGGGATCAACAACCCCCTGCGAACTCGCGAGAGTTCTCGGTTGTGCCCCTTTTTTTATGACAGCTAAGCAAATTCCAACTCGTACCTCCATGCGTGAACCGTTGAATCATGCACCACAGCGCTTTTGCTGGTATTCCAACACCTTCGCCTCCCAACCGAATGAAAACTTTGAACATGTTACAGACCACCTCTCAAGGCGGTGAGAGCCAGGGCTAATGAATGCTGTATATACATTATCATTGACAGAGAAATAAAATGCAATTAACCAAATCCCAACCCTTTAAACAAATTGACGCTTGAGATCGGCCCACTTGCGGCTCAGCGCCTCGTGTTGAGAGTTTAACTATAACACGACAGTTAGTAAATCGTGAAATCGGTACCATCAACAAGGGGGTGACGATGACTGCCTATACATACCTCTGCGTACTGCAACTTGGTCTGAACCAGTTGTTCTTCTAATTCCTGAAGGTTCTTCTCGAGTTCCTGATTCTCCTCATGAACCTTTTGATTGCGCTTCATTAGGTCGTCCCTCTCTAGGTTCCATGTCTCCTCGATTTCGATGGGCTGCTTCTCGATGACGATCCGCAGTTCCCGGACTTGGCCTCTGAGACTCTCATTTTCATCCTTGAGCTCTTGGTTCTCGACCTTGGTGTGCACAAGCTCTGTGGCGAGAGCCGCTTGCTCAGTATCACAGGCCTCGACTCGTTCCTCCAGTTTGCGAAGCTTACTGGCATACTGCTGGTTTCCTATCCGGAGGTCATGTAGCTCTGTCTCTCGCTCCTTCTCAGCTCTCGTTTTCTCCTCCCATTCCACGGTATAGGCTTTCAGAGTCTCGGGGGTGATCTTGATTTCACATGCGTCCGTCACGAGCTGGTCTGCTCGGTAGACCTCTTTATCCAGGCTGGAGCTCGAGCTACCAAAGAAACCATTCTCAAGGAGACTTCCGTGGCTAGGGTCTTTGTCAATGTAGACGTCGAAAAGCTTGTCTTTCAAATATCCAGTGAGCTGCGCCATGTCGGAGAGTCCAAGTAAGGTGGTGGCATTCTTCTGCATCAATACCAGGCCAAATCGCAAGATAGCGGAAAGGCCCTCTGAAAAAATCAAATCGTAAATTCGAAGCACAAGTTGCAGAGGGAACCGGTAGGCGAACAGGGTCAAGAACCACTGTGTCGCATAAAGGTGAGATGTGATGCCACGTCGGCGAAGGTGGCAGTACAATGCGGGCTCAAAGTCCTCTAGTAGGCGCTCAAACTGGTAGAGGCGCATATGAAGACCGGGCATATCCTGGATGAAGAGATCCCTAAGTCCATAATGAGTCATTAACCGCACCAAAAGGCAGAACGCTTCTTGTTCGGGCATCTAGATGAACCATTAGCTTTGCTTTATACAGCCAGGAACAGGGCCCACTTACATTGAACAAAAGGGGCATAACAAGGAAATTCATGCCCTGAGCATAGCCAACTCCCTCGTCGTAAAGTGCATAAGCCTTGCAGACACCAAAAAGACCCTCCTGAAGTCCCGAAGCAGCGGCATATTTAGAAAAGCTGGTCCGAGTACCCAGGTCTCGTCGAATAGCTTTCTCCAACTTTTGTAGCGCGGCTGCATCTTCCTTCTCCTTGCGCTTCCTCTCAGCTTCAGAAAGGAGCTGAGGCTTGCCGGCTGCGTCGAGAGGAGGAGAACCAGGGCTGTTCTGAGCGGAGTAATTGGAGTGAATAGAAGAGGCTGATGATGCCACCGCCTCCGGACTGCTGACACTGAGATTACCGTTACTAGTAGCGCTCGTCGTAGTGCTGTTGCTGTTTCTCGACTTGGCCTTTTCTGTGCCTCTCGCAATTAGATCCTTATACGCCAGTTCCAAGTCGTCGTTTTTGCTTTGCGCCAGAACCTGCCAAATGACACCTCGGATGGCGCTGGGTATTCCAGTGGCAATGGCTCTATTGAGCTCCTCAGCGCTTGTACGGGCTACCGCGGCCGGGCCTTCATAGACGACAGATTGCCATAGGTCCCAATCAACTTCTGCGGGCGGCAAGGCTGAGGGTCCGGCATTCACCCCGGATACAGTCCCGGGTGCAAGATTGGCGACCGGCGCTGGCACAGGTGGCTCTTCTGATAAATTGGGCGAAGCCACTAAACTCCTTGTGCCATTGACAAGTTCGACCTGGTCGTCTTCACCAGTCAAAGTAGTAATCCCGGCCTCTTCTCTCATACGAAGCAGCTTAAATCTGTCCCTCAGGCTGTTTCGTAAAGCCTTGCTGGAACCATCGGCCTCCCCTTCTTTCTCTTCCTCCAACTTGCTCAGCATCATTTCGGGGTTGCTCGTCAAAGTTGCAATCGAACTAGCCGTATTTCTTCGAGGACTAGTCTGTGGTGGGGGAGGATCCTTCTCCTTGTTCGATGAGGATCTGGATAACCAAGAAAACGGACTGCTAATCTTTCGCGTAGGCGGGGGTGGAGGGGGAGGAGGAGCTGGTTGGGACCAGGTTGCCGATGACGGTGGTTCAGTGGTTCCTGCGCCTTTAGCTATCGCCTCGTTTGAAGGAGACCATGGCATGGTCGGAAGAGCGCTGGTTAGACTATTTAATGACAGGGTCTTGCTTGGGGCTTTCTCCTGGGCTTTGGTGGCTTCTTCTAAGAAAAGCGTCAGATCTAGCAATGGAGATATTATATTTTCAAAGCATTAGAGCACTTACCTTCTTCTTTAGAAGGAGCCTCATCGTCCAAGCTCACATTGTCCAAGTTGGATGTATGGGAAAATCGTTTCGATAAAGGGGTTCGTGCTTCACTTATCGGGGAGATTACTTCATTTTCGATGGTTTGCTCGAACTGGTCGCCACCATCATTGCTTAAATCAACAGAGTCCAACTTGGTTTCCAACTTGGTTTCCTTCTGGTTCACTGTGTTATCGGGAAGACCGTCATGGGAATCGTTGTCACTCGACGAGGTTTTCGAACTCGACACTGCCCGTTTCGTTAAAGATCGGACAGATTTGCTGTCAACAGTGTCCTCAACGGTCTCGCGAGTACCAGCCTAGGCCACCGCATCAGCTTCTAACCTTTCATGCTCCAGGAATGGAATGCTCGAGTAGCAGGGAGCGCAACATCTGGCCATACCTGATCTTGGTCCGAGTCCAATGAGTTCTGATTCTGGGCCCCCCCTGTCGGGGACGCAACTTCCAACTGTTGTTGCGACATGGCTAATTCGAGAATCCAAGACTTGAGCACAGAGCTGAAGAGTTGCTTAGGTGGCGGCCATCAAACTGTTCTCCAGGACAGTACGACGCAGCTCGAGCAACACCGATGATGGGTTTCCAAGGGATGCGATCAACAAAGCAAATGCCGGGGTGTAGGAGCGAATAGCGAGTGCGGAGGTGGCGATGTCGTTATGCGGAAATGAGGAAAGGGAGTGCTATCTTCGCCCGCGAAGACGAATTCATGCCGTGGTGGAGTGAATGAATGCTGTCAAAAACAGGAGAATGTGACGCTTTATGGGTGGACGGATCCCATCCCAGCTGGCAGGGTACCAAAATCACAAAGCAGCTTCCTACCGATGTGGGAACAGGGCGATACAGGCCAGTTTTAGGGGTTGAAGAGGGTAACGCCAAATCCTGGTGGCACTATCTTTGGCCTGTACCCCTGGACTAATGGCGCTAAAGGCCCCATTCTTTCGCTGTTTCACAACCCATCCACAGCAACCAGCGTCAGACTCGTCAGCGTGGTATGGACTATGGCGTAGTGGCAGCCACTGCTCGTAATATACGAACCCATAATCCTGTTACTAAAAGAAGAGAGGGTGCGCAGGATAATCAGCCGCTATCAGAACAGTCATCAGTTCGCTCACCACCAACCAGGCTAAGGACAGCAAGCATCTCGGCTGCCACTCTCGCCTCTTACATGGCTATCTGTGGCTGGAATGCCTTGCGCTCCCAGTTGGTACCTACAGGGAGGAATAACCCAGGAAGGCGGAATCTGCTGAAACCGCCCCTCCTCAAGAAATGTTCGTCTCCCTAATATACCCCTCTATATCGACTCCTAGCAAGCTACCTATGCTTTCCTGCCACGCCTTGAGACCAACCTGCATTGATTCTTAGCAGTTGATCTATCACAAGCCAAAATCCAGTATGAATACGAAGAGCCTAAGAGACAGTGTCACATGTTCACACCATTTCATCAGCACCGGTGTCTGGAGAGTTACGATAGGCTTTTGGTTCCGTCACGTGCGTCTTCGTTGCCTTCGCATGTGTGGCTGGAGAAATGACACCGTCGATTCTTCTACTGCCCCATGGACCCAGCCTGCAGTGCCTAGCTTGATCCTCAACACCTTTTGGAGGGTTATTAAACACCCGAAGCTAGGGGAAAACCTGCCGCTTACCCTACCCGATTGCTTGGCCTAGATTTGTATTAACCAGTCAACCCAGTACAATTATACAAAGAGGTTTGTTTTCCAAGTCCTGGTCGTTGTGATAGGATGCGCGCGCCACTAAACTCAGCTAAGTAGAATGTAGCAAGTCCTGGCCCCCGAATAATAATAGTAGGTAGGATGTTTTTTATGAACGAGATCCAGCAACTACATCCTTGCACCATATGGGTGTGGCTATCTACGGATTGATATGGCCTCTGCCCGATTCGGAAGACCCTCGCCAGCTACCCCGGTGATGCAAATCCCAATTATTGCAACGTACCTCCCATAGTAAGTGGATGGCACATCGACATAGTTCAGCGCTGAATTTCAACAAAGTATCAGAAGAGTGCA